TGTATGTATGTATGTATGTATGTATGTATGTATGTATGTATGTATGTGTACATTGTACATCTGTACAACTATACTTGTGTACATTGTACTATGTGCGTGAAGATCAAGATGTGCCTCGCGTGGATAACTGAACTATTGGTATAGGTATATGCATGTATGCCAGGCACGGACAAATAGGTCACGAATGCCTGCCCCTTCATGGGAAGAACACTTGGCTTCCCAACTGGGCATGTTACAAGTCCACCAGACAGAAAGGCCTCTGAGCAAACTTCCGGGGTCAATCCACTGAAAACAAAGAAAGACCTGTCAGCAACCCGCAACCCATACCGACATATACCGACGGTCCCTCCTGCGATGGCCCGCGCGGTGGACCCGGTGGAGATGCGGCGCGCCAAGGCGAAGCGCGCGCGCGCGCGCCCAAACCTCATCATCTGAATTGTTGGATTCAGACCTTGGGGATTGCGGCAAACTGATATGAGACCGATCCAGACCTGAAGTCGGTGCCGAAATCGGTCCCAATGAAGCGACCAGCCCCACTTTGAAGCGATCAGGAAGTAGCTCTGAAACTGCTCGGTGAGTCTGTGAGTCTGTGATTTTTGGAGGAGGGCAACTGTTTCATAGACTCTTCAAGCGCCTTGGTGCCTACCATGAGCTTGCAAGTGCCCCAGTCATCTCTGCATTGAAAGTGGCCAGCCAGCTACCAGCCACCATGAAATTATTTCATTGACTGCGTACTGTAGCTGGGTCTGCAATGCTGTCATATGTGCCCGCTTTGTGTGCATGCATATATACACACAATACAACCATATACAATCATATACAAATGAATGTTCGACATCATAAACTATCAGACAACTTGCAAAGATCACATTACCAAGGGACCCTGACAAGTGTTCTTGCTATGTCATTCAAGGACCCGTTGCTGAGCCTCGACATCGCATAACCACGAGCGAAATTCCGCCCCCATCTCAGCACTGAACTCTTCAGGCGCTGACTTTGGAGGACTGGGGCAGTGGCCCGGCCGCGGCTCGGATGACAACGGATGCTCAACTCGGAAACCCTGCAGTCGAGAAGAATGCTCTCTAAATGTAGAGATCTTGATTGAAGGAACCCCCCACCCTTTTGGATTGTAAGACCTCCTTCACTGGAGGATACCCCCTCGAATTCTTGGCGTATGTAGGGGTGGTTGATTTTTTAAGGAAAATGTGCCACAGAATCAACCACCCCAGGTTCGCCAATCTGAAAAGCTTTACAAAATCAAACCCCCCAGGACACAGGCAAGGGACAACTCTCCAGCCGATATTACAAAATCAACTGCCCCAGTCTCAAGATACAGTCTTTACAAAATCATAGGCACTCTGTTGACATGGCTCGGTACAATTACAAAATCAACCCCCCTGAGGCCTCAAACAAGATACAAAATCTCAATCATTAAACCTGGATACCAGAAAACAAACGATTTTGTAATGATTCGGCGCGACCTCATCGAGACGATACGATACTATACGATCAGACAGTAGCACGGACCAATGCGCCAAACAGTTGATTACAAAATCAAACATCCCAATGTCTATCACTAGGAAACAGTTTTACAAAATCAGAGGCACCAAGAGAGCATCCAGAGGCACTCATACAGAATCAAGAATCTCAGTCTCGGTTTACTTATCGCTACAGGTTCACAGGTTCACAGGTCCCTTGGTTGATGTTCACAGGTCCCTTGGTTGATGTTCACAGGTCCCTTGGTTGATGTTGACTTTTCGCTGAAACCTTGTGCCCATGCAGTGAGTCGACTCACGCGACGTGGGTTGACTTAAGTACGGCGCTTGTAGATAGCCACCTAGATAGAAGGCTTTCAAAGCCCTCTCTCCCGGCTCACTTGTGACAGGTGGGGAAATTTCTGCGACAACGAAGGTGAAGCATGAGCCTCTAGTAGAAGGCATTGGAGTGTGGGGGTTCCAGGGTTGCGTTGGGAGTTGTTGAAGATTTTTTAAAAGGATTTTGAGGTTTCACATCTTCCTTGGTACTTTTACCTTCATGATCCTTCATGTGTCCACCTGGAAACCATTACCCCCAGAAGCCCTGACTAGACATCTATAGACATTTAATTGTGGCAGATGCGGGAACGCCAGCATCCAAGAAGGCGCAGAAGGCGAAGAGTCTTCAAGCAGAAGGCAAGTGAAGCGTGGGTTTCAATGGGTCTGTTGGGAGACTTTTTGACAGAGTTTATCAGACTGGTTCGATACAGTAGAAAAACCTGTTTAACCTAGAAACAAGTGCCTTCAGAAGCCCTCACTAGATGTTTAATTGCGGCAGGTGTGGATACTCCTCCACCAAAGAAGGCAAAGAAGAAAGAGGACCTTCCAGCAGAAGGCGTTGAAGTGTGGGATAGACTGGGTAAAGCTGGGTGTGTTTGCTCAAAGAGAACACTTTCATTAAACATCAACTCAGCAGCGATACTCAACGAGGCTCTTGGGATGCCTGGTGTGCGTGTGTGTGTGTGTTCTAATATATCCTATCTATGATATATCATGAAAAATTATGCGAATTATTGAGAATTTATGAGACCATGTTCTACAGCAGCTCAACCCACTACAAAATCAACTGTCCATGCTTTACAGCAGGTCAATCGATTACAGAATCGACTGTCCATGACAACCACCCCACCCTCAAACTTGTATAGAATCAAGGACCCCACCCTCACCAGTGCGGCACTTTTGACATCCATACCAACATATCGATTCCTTACAAAATCAACAGACCCAAGAAAGAATGTTGCCCTTACAAATTCAACCTCCCCACCCCCACAAAAACGGGTACCTGGAAACAAACTTGTTTCTTTACAATATCGAAGCTCTTTTGTTACCCAGGGAGGTTGATTTTTTAAAGGAAATTTCAACGGGTATACTGGAGGTGTTGTGGTGTCTTTTATGAGTCTATGTGATGTCTTCGGAGGGTAGATGCTGGCACCAAAAACAGGTGTGGAAGAGGAGGAGCCCACCCTCTACCCAATGAATGCGAGGAGTGAGCCCAGATGTGAGGACCTTCCCAGTGACCGTCCTTGAGATCCCAGAATGGGGTCACTTAGGTCTTGAAAAGGTCACTGACCAATCCTGAAGAGGTCACTGAGAAGGTCCTGGTATAATAGTTGTGCTTGATGGTTCGGAAAAGCATCGCGAATATACTGGATATATGGATACATGGGATAGTGTGAATAACTGTCAGCATCACTATTCGGATGAACACTTGGATCGGGGTTCTAATGGGCTGGAGGCTTTGTATAGTTCGTGAAGGCATGTGAACGCCACCCTTTGCGTTGCACTCTGAGGAGGGGACATGGAAGTGACCGCTGTCTTCTGGGAAATCTTCTTGGCGAGTTGATTGTACAGAGGGTAATCATGAAACCCGGTCAACACCGACATGGGGGCTGGTTGGCCTTAACTCAAGATAGTCAAGAAACCTTGTGGAGATGAATGATGCTCACCTCTGCTTCTGAAAATTTAGATTACCCAATCACCTCTGTTTCATCAGTTCGAAGACCCAAAACGATGCACCTGGGCTTGGAGGAAGTGGCTCCGCCCGAGGGCGAGCAGGCCTGCACGGGCAAGCAAGAACTCTTCAGCCTCTTCAGTGCACTTGGCAAACTGATTTCCGCATGTTCACTGAGACCCGTTATACCTCAACTGTAAGTTTATCTGGATCCGCGGCATGATGGTCAACATCAATCATCGTGCGCGAAGTCAGGCATCTCGTGGCATCTCGACCCGTCGACGACCACAGCAGGAACGGCTGCTTAACGACGATCCAAGTGCGCTTGACATAGGGAGCCCTCATGAGCCCTCACCAAGATATCCTCTTTGGGTGTGCCGATCCGCCGCAAAATGTCCGGACCGTCTCTTGAGATTCGACCGAGTCGAAAACAGATCAGGTACCCTCCAACAGTTCTTCGAAACCAAGTTCTTCGAAACCTGTGGGCACAGCCAGTTGCTTCCCTCAAAATCTCGGTGCTCACACATCACAGCAAGGCAGAAGGGAGATCGACTCAGATCGACCGTCTCCCCGTCCTCTGGGCCGCGTCCCTGCGCATCGGCATTCGGCTCGGGGACGGATGTCTCGTCATGAAAACTCGGGTGGCACGGAAACCATGGCTCCGGTGGTAGCTGCTAGCTCATCGACCTTGAGGAGGAGCCGGAGAAGCTGGAGTATGAACCTACAGAACCTCCTGACGACCAGGTCATGAGATGCCCCCGACTACGACTGCGACTGGTGACTCACACCACGGAACTGGTGACTCACACCGAGGGCCCCTGGCTTGAGAGCAGCAAAGGCCCATCAGCCCTGCCAGGACGGGCTGCGGTGATGTAAAACGCGGAGCAGCCAACAGGGCTGCTAAGACAACCAAGAGAGGTGGATCAGAGAAGGAAACAAGGAAACTGCCAGAAACGCAAGCAGCGGCTTCTTGCAAGTAGCAACTGTCCCCTAAAGGAAGTTCATAGGAGCAAATGCCCAAGCCGAAGTCATGAAGATTCAGAAATCACATTTGATGAGGTCTTTTCAAGCAGGTGTTGTTCAATCCCGGGTTTGTCTCCAAAACCTCCGGATTCCAACAGCTCAGCATGCTGAGCATGGCTGAGCACCGACCGAAAGTCTACCCCAATGTGCAATATCTTTCTACCCCAATGTGCACTCCCAGAAAGCAGTCTCAAAGAGTTCGACCACAATGTATGACTTGTTGACTTCACCACACCCGAGAGCCTGCTGATGTAAATATATAATCCTTCTGGTTGGGGGGGCATTTATTCGTCACTAAATGATATATCGTTGTATACCAAGAGAGGTTAAGCGACCTGAACTAGCACCCAACTGAGGTACCGAACTGGGATAGTCTATAGGGTTCTTCAACCTCTGTTGGTCAAACATCTTCCCCCATCGTCCGAACTCCCCTGGCCTCCAACGAGCCATCGCTGGGGCGTCGGTGCAGCTTTGAGTCCAAACAGTTTCGGAACGCCAAAAAGTCGCTTCGCGTTGGGTGTCCAGCGCCAATGCACGGGGGGGACGTGACGGACGTCAAGGGTTTGATAGGAGTGCCTGGGTGTCGGACGTCAAAGTTTTGCAAGCACAGGAGATGAAAGGAGAAAATACGTCTGAGGGCTTACAGGCTTACCCCGGCCCCACCCATTCATTCCCAACAATGACCCAAAAAAGACCTAAGGTCTCCGTGTTTTTTAGGAGCTCTTGACTGGCTACTGATGTGAACTGGTTCTTTTTCACGCCGCCTCACGCAGGCGCCGATCGGCTGACGCCGCGTTGCCGGCCGAGCTGCGAGCTGCGAGACGTGACACTCTGACTCACTAACATGGAAGTGGAAGGGGGTTTTCCATTTCCATGTTGGTGAGTCAAAGTGTCGGCGCTAATTATACATGTTGGATGAGCCGATTTCCCAAAAGGGGGGAAAACAGGGTTAGACTAGGAATGCCCTGCTTGATCCGGAAGCACCGGTATGCACAGGCCGCGCTTCTTACTTTGAGTTCAAGAAAGGTATATAGCTCGACACCACACGTGCAATTGATGTGCAAGATCCGGGACCAAACCGAAAATGTGTCGATTGAGGATCAATAAACTTACAGCACCTTGAAAAACACTCCACGATCCACAGGAATGAATCAAGTACCTTCCACAAGTTTCCAGATGCGGGTTGGATCATGGGTATCGGTATCTACTCCAGAATGAGATTCAAGGTTCATCCATACACACACAAAAGCATGTATATATAATTAATACGTTCATATATCTATCAAATCACCGAGTCACCTTTCACCCGTCCTTCGGTCACGGTCACGGACCAAGTCCACAGCCCGGTCCGGTCGCGGATTCAGCCGCAGCTCAGACCCATTCACCAGCTTCACCTGCACGGTGCGACCGGGTCATGCGACCGGCCGTCGAAGCGGCCAACGTCGAGGTGGAGATAGAACTGCGACTGTCCAAGGGGAAAGACCTGATGAACGGTCAGTTTAGAGCCCCAAAAAATTCGTCACAATGGCTGGTGCCACTGTCCACACCTGTTGCCAATTCTCTAGTTCATGGTCTTGGATGTGGCTTACGTGATGTAGTGATGCGTAGCGTCGTTTTGCGTTTGTTCGTTGTTTTGCGTTTCTCTCTCGCTTGCTCATTGCTCGTGTGGGTTTGCGCAAAAATGATGGCCTGACAATCTAGCCCGCGCTGCGCGTCATCAGCGCGAAAGTCGGATCTGCTGCCTTCCTCCTCTGGGTCATCGCCGTTGCCCTGTGTGGACTCGGCAAATGCGCCGGCCGCCCATTGTGGACGCCCGGCTTCAGCACTCAGGCTGGGGATGTAGGTGGAAGACTCTTGCCAAAAGTGGTCCGCCTGGTAGACTGGTACAGTATGAAGTACGTTGACATCCCCAAATCATCAGGGCTGTTTTGGGCGTCTGTTTTGGGCGTCGGTTTTCTCCCCTCCGGGACCCTCTACCGGGACCTTCTACCGCGACCAGTTTTTCACGCCAAGTGGAGAAAGCCAGAAATTTGAATCATGCATTGATATATAATATTAAATAGCACAAATAGGCGGATATATGGATGTGGGTAGATCGGCCACATCTGTGCAGTGGGAATGGTCCCATGCCTAAGAACACGGGTCTTCTCTCCCTCCCTCCCGCTTTCACACCCACCAAGGCCACGGACAAGCTGGGAAATGGATCAAGGCTCAAGGCACGGCAAAAATCAAGAAATTCAAGTGTTCAACCGAAACCCCCGACCCCTGGCGACGGCTCAGAAAAACCACCGACGCTTGTTCCATGCCTCGCCTTTTCGTGCGCCAACCTCGGATCAATGAGCGGTTGGCAGCCTGCCGGCCCAAATCTCTGGGTCTATCACATTGACAGGAACAGTGGACGATGATGGTTAGTAAAGGCCTTGTTCAAAAATAGTGGAGTGGCATGGCTGAGCATTCTTTGTCCCAAACCTCGAATTGAAGCTGAAACAGCTGAGGCCGCGTCTCTGCGTCGTCTTTGCGCGCTGACACCTGGGCCTAGCGATGAAACATCTCATAACAAGGTTGCACGGTGCAAAACTCTCTGCAGCTCTGGTGGTTGATGGGTTACATTGCGGACTGTCAACAGGAGCAGCAAAAAGACCTGTTGTCCATACCAAACCAAGGAATCCCCCTAGCAACCTCGACAGGAGAGCCGCTTCAAAAGCCCGGCTCACTTTGCGGAACGGAACGTTCAACGTTCAGCGTCAACGGTTGGCGGGGCAAAAAGCACCTGGTGTTCGTATGTTGTTGGTCTGTCTTCTGCTCTCAGGATTGCAGGACAAACACAGAGGACAAACAAACAAGCAAGCAAACAACAAACCCAACCCGACCCCAATCCAACCAACCAACGAGGCTGCTGTTTTTCTGGTAATTTCTTGTTTTTTGGTTCCTTTTTCCTGGTAGCGCTTTCATATGGTGATACAGGGATACCCGGTGGTTTGGCTTTAGTGAGGACTTCGGTTTTAGCCTCTCGGCTGGCAACTCACAGCAGAACGGAGCAAGATTCGGCCACTGTGAGCAGCACAGTTTCCTCGCTGGCAACTCACAGCAGCACGGGGCATGCAGCCCTGGCCACTGTGAGCAGCACAGCACTGTGAGCAGCATAGCCCCTAAGCCAGCCACCAGACAAAGCAATAGAAGATCATAGAAGCGAAAAGCCACAGCACCCAAAAGCAACAAAAACCAAAAACTAGAAGCTAAAAGCTACAGAAGCCAAAAGTATCCAAACCTAATCGCTACAAATGCCAAAAGCCACAAAAGCCCAAAAAGCCACGGACGCCAAAAGCCGCCGAAACCAACAGCTACAGAAGCCAAAAGCTACAGAGGCAAGTCTCCGAAGCCAAAAGCTCTTGAAACCACACGCCACAAAAGCCGCACGCCACAGGAGCCCTCGTCCTTCCTTCCTTCCCTTTTCTTTTCTTCCCTTTCCTTTCCTTTGGTCATGGAGAAACAAATCCCACCAATAACGGAACAAATTTCCTTTTGAAAATACGAGTTCCAACCAACTTTCATTGGTCCACGCTGGCCGCTTCCGCGCCGCGGATGCGGATGCAGCGGCGCGTAGTGCGTTCAACGGAAGCGATTGTGCGCAACTCACACGAGGCCTTGCTGAAAAAAAACAAACCAAACCAAACGAAAAACAAACGAATGAAAGTGCGTGCGGCGGCAATTGGAGGTGAAAGAAATTTGCCACAGAAACACTGGAATGACGCGGCTTTCCCACACTAATTAGGCCGCTCCTGTCGCTGCAGCTGCCCATGACCCAAGTCAAGAAGGAACCTGAAGCGCTGTTAGTCGTGCAAGTCACTTCACTTAAATCTGACATGAAATATACGGTATATACATATTTTATACATTATATACAGAAGGGTTGAGCTCTTCCTTCGGACTTTCCACTGATGCTGTGCAAAGTTGAATTGATAAGTGATCATCTCCAGCATATTGTGCTTGACGGAGCACTTGCAGAAGGAAACAGCTAGAAGCAAGAATCGAAGCTTCCTACATCCTTACCAAGCCTTACCTTGGTCCTTCCCTTGGGCTTGGCATTCCCTAGATACCAAGGAAAAAGACCCGCCAGGGGAAACCCTCCCAATGCTATAGCCTCCAGCCGCTTACCAAACAACCACACCCCAAAAAGAAGCTATATATATAGACTGAGACTAGATGTGTGTGTGTGTGTGCGCTTGCGGATGCATATGATATAGAAATTCAGCGACCACTGGGGTCCCTTCATGAAACTTGGGGATGCGAAAACCAAGGGATTGGATAAGGCAGTCGAGCCTAAGTATTGTTCGGGCTCTTGACATCGCAAACCAGTACCTGGACACTCCTTTGGTACACAAAAATGTGTACACTTGGATTATTTACAAACGTGCTTAAAGTTATACGTCGTACATTTATCTGGGAAACAAGCACATTTTGCCTTGGCATGGCCAAACGAGCACTTTTTCTGGAATCAAGGCTTTTGTTGATGACACCTCAGTTTCCATATATTGGGGTATTTGTTCTGTAGCTGTGGAGGCTTGAAGACCACTTGGTTCCATGCACGTGGCCTTTCTCACGTCTCCGGGGGAAGGTCTCCGCGCGATGAATGCCGCGTTCGGTGGTTGACTTGGCGCTCCCACTCGGTGTCCAAGTCTTCATCCAGATCGCGAAGGTCCTGTCGATGCGCGAAGAGTACGAGTACCGAGCCCACTAGGAAGGACCTCCCAGAATCCCTCGGACCTCCTTCCTTCGGTTCAGGAGTAGGTCTCACTTGGCACGGCCCAACAGGGACCCAAATCAAAGGAGATCCGCCAACGACGTTTCCAACGTGTTGGGCCCATCGGTGGAGTGACCAGGGCGGCACGGCCCGGGCCCTTGTATGGCTGTGGGCTGTGGCACAAGAGGGGCCAAACACTAGACCAAACTGCCAAAAATTACAAAAAATGCAAAGAAATTTAGTGAGTGTGCCTTTGTGATCCTTTGTGGGGATCCCAATCTACAAGCGGCTAAGTTTTTGCCCCACGCCCCTATCCCCTACAGTATCTATTTAATGTTCATCAAATTTTGCCATTTGACATCGTCCAAGCTACTTTACAAGTGAGCAGCAGTACATTCCACTTCCCCCAGCATGGGCGCTGTGGTCTTTCAGCGGAGCCAACCAAGACTCGAAAGCAGCGAGGCGGCCAAATACAAATGGGCTTTTCCCGTGCTGGACTGGGAATCGGCTGGACCAACTGCACTAGGAGGCTCCCTTTGCCATGTTAGGGTCCGAATGGAGATGTATGTATTTCTAGGATATCAGAAACGATTTTGCACGGAGAGCAGGGGTAAAGCACCGGGTTTCCACATGTTTCCACGTTTCTTGAGAACAGTCTTAGTTGCCCATCCATCCTCAACAAAAATCAGGTCGTCGTTCTTTCCGCACACGTGAAACGACCAGCGCTAATGATATGACTATGCAACCAATGAGGGTAAGAGGACCCCACACTCCCACAAGGGGTGGGTCAGAAAATGTCTTGGAGCCATAGGCCTCGCCCGCCTTGCTTCATTTCCTCTGCGATGCGGCCAGCAGCTCGTGTTGATGTAGGTATTCCTTTAAGCGCTGAAGTTGCAGATCGACCCGCTGCATCTGAAGCATCGTGGTGGTCAACATGTTTTGCGCATAAAGGAGGTTCGCCGGATAAGTCAAGACCTCAAGATCCTCCGTTTGGAGCGCGGCATCGACCCTGGCAGGACACGCAGCCGGGAGGCCCGACTCGGCTGGCCCTGCTGGTGGGAGCGCGTCTTCCCCGGCGGGGTCCATCCTGGGGACAGCTTGAGCCACAACATGCCAAAACGGTCCGAGGAAGACGTGATGCGTGGCCACAAAGACAAAGACCGGTGTTCCACTTCTTCTCAGGGACCTGTCATAGACTATGACACCATTGGTCGATGGTCTACCTCTTAGACCCCCAAGTCTAGTCGCTGCTTGGATCGGGTTTCCACGTTCTCCTCGGGACTGAACTCCACGTCATCCACGTTCACCTCACCGGACGCGACTCGAGAAGCTCGGCGAGCCCGACGCTCCGCCTCCCGCACGCACGCACGCACGCACGCACGCGGTCCGCGGCCGGCGCCGGTCCCGCGCCGGTCGTGACCGGTGCCCCGAGCAGGCGCGCCATGGGGAAGGACGGCGTGTCCAGTTTCGGGAAGCCACCTGAGACCGACGTCGCCGGGGCGGCGGAACACCCCTGCGGTCTGAAAGGTCTCTGATCCCTTTTTTTTCGGTTTGTTTGTGAACCCCCCGAGCGACGGTGTGTTCTCATCTATGAACAGATATACGAATCCCGAATGATGATTGTAGGAATCATTGGTAAGGGACAGCCACCGGGCCAGTGCTACAAGTGCCCAATCTGCAACATCAGCAGGACAACGACTTGTCCCAGATCCTTTCCATCCAAGCTTTGAGAGTCCGCTGTGCCCTTCTGTGCCCCTGGACCCAAGGGTTCTTGCTCCAGCTGCGCGAACTCTTCGAGGTCCGGAAGCACCACCTCACCGGCCACCGTGCAGTTCGGTGAAACGAAGTGATGTGAAGCAAGTTGTGCCCCTGAAACGCCAGAACATCTACAGGACACCCGTGGTTTTTAAGGTGAAAACAACGGTGTCCTGGTTTAAACTCTTGAGCCAATCCAATGGTTAGTAAAGGCCCCCCGCATTTTAACGCCGAAGTCTTTTCAGGGCTTCGAAAGGCCCTCCAAGTCCACTGCGTCTTGTAGATTTGGTACTTCTGCTCTGCCGCAGGGCCGTCCCTTCAGGAGTTGGGAAGCTGCACAACCCCGCCCCCACACAGCTTCGGCCACGAAGTTCCATACCCACCCTTTCTGTAGAAAAAAGGCTGGCAACCTCATTCCTGCCCACTGAAATCAGAGCCAACTTCCTGGAGCGAATTCGAAGTCGTTCAAGGAAAGAGCTCAAAAGAGATGAAGAAGAATCATAGAGCTCTTTCAAAAGAATCCAGAGCTATATTGACACCGCCTGCACGCGGGTCTTGCTGAGCATCCTCCACCCCCAAAAAAGACACACGCGCCTCTGTCCAACATGCTAAGGAGTCAAGGCGCTCCTGCACCTGTCAGGTCCCCCGGTCTCCCTGGTCATGTAGAGAAATGACCAATCAAAAACCATCAAAAGCCCAGTCCAAGCTGAGGGTACTGCACTTGAATCATCATTGAACAAGCTAGTAGCGACTGTCGAAAGTGCTGTGACCCAGACATGTCGGGTGGCACACCCAGAGCACTCATTGAGCACAACTGGCACATCTGGTGGCACCTCTGACCATGTGCTCCCGGCATCACGCAACTCCCCCTGGCGGGGCATAGCTCAGACATTTCCAGCACACAAGGATAGTGCAAATCCCTGAACACATGAGCAAACCGAAGGTGAACTGGGGGGTGATGTGTGTTTGAGCATTCCTTTTCAAGCTCTTTCCATTGCTCTGGGGCTCTTCTTTTAAGTTCCTCCCTCTGTTGCTTCCGTGAGCTCCGTGCCAAGATCTTCCGCAGCAGCCCAGTGAGCTCGGGCGCATACCAGTCACCTGGGCCACGAGTCACGCGACCACCCTCGCGGTGGATCTTCTTCCTCCATTTTCGTGGGGGAGAGTCTTCTTGATTCAGCGGTGCTCCCCTTGGAAGGGAAGTTGACCAATGCAACAGCGGTGAGGTCTTCCAAAAAGCTTGGACCACTTGGCCTCGAGGCTGGAATGCTACCAAGTAGTTCCTGCTCCTTTTTTCCAGGATGAGATCAAAATATCAGCAATTCCTTTGAACCTGAAAACCCCACACGGTCCCCAAACCCAGGAAAGGGTGCCGCAAAGCATGAAAGTGTTGTCAAGATCTGGGTTTGCATTCTAATCGGGAAACCCCCCCAATGGATTGTGGTCTATTCCCTTCTTCTTCCATGGAGTCTTTTGGAGGTCTATTTCAATCTGAATACACACCCGGCATCATCGATGTGCTGCATTTTCCAGCAGGTCTGCAGCAGTTCTCTGGGCACCCACTGAGTGCCCTACGGTGCGTCTCTTGCGCCACCGCCTGGAGACCCCGAATCACCTCTGTTTGGTGCTTTTGCTGCTAAATGAACTGTGAGTTGGACATGCGGTGTTTGCATGAGCCGGGCCAGCTCGGTTTACGGTTTGCATGAGCGGCCCTGTCGAAATGCGGGAGCGTCTTTCGCTTTATGATGCATAGAACCTGACCCGTCCACTTCGAAGGAATTGTATATATTGACCATGTGCCCAGCATGCTTGAGCATAGAATCCAAGCATGATAGGCTACAACCTATATTCGCGAGAGGCAGCCATTCTCAAATCAATTTGATATAAAGAATAATTCCGCGGTAAAATGTGTGTAACATGGTGTAACTGTAACTAATTAAATACGGTATGTTGAACTATCATTCCAAACAATTGTACTGCATAGCTCTTCATAGAGGGCCGCAGTCAGATCTCAAAGAACCCTCCTTAGAAAGCAGATCTATCCAAACGCCGCCCGGATCGGCGGTCCGAGACGCTCTATATATATATATACACACACTCTGACTCACTAGCAGTGGAAAATGGCCTCTTGGAAGACTACTTTCCTCTACAAACAGTGGGTTTTCTACTTCCATGTTAGTGAGTCGGAGTGTACCAGCACCCTCCAAGTCCGGTGGTTTTTGGACACCTCGACTCACCTCTAAGAGGCTGTTGATGGACACCTCAAACGGAGGGTCCTGGGTGACCTGGCTTAGGTGTCGGGATTCTCGAACGCACCGATTCTCCGACCGTGCTTGCTGCAGGCGTCCAATGGCTGGACTGATCCCTGATGGCCCAGGCATCGCAGGAACAAATGGCACATGTCTCAGCTGTTGGGTTGGTCCATCTACTCGTAAGTCACCAGTGCCTATAAGAATTCAAGCCGAATCTGTTCGAATTGCATCTGACCCCGGCGCCTTCAAGGCCTTTGCCACGCGGCCCATCACGGCGCCTGCGGCCCACCGCGCTCGGGTGAGGTCGTGGCCCGGGGGTTGACGGTTTAGGGTTCCGGTGCTGGAACTGGGGGTGAACCGGATGGGAACGGTTCGAACTGCGAGATTCTTTGGAGTTAGGTTCAGTCTGAGTTAGGTTCAGTTCGAGAAAAGTGGTGAACTGGGGAACTCTTGGAAAAGTTCGCACCCTTCGCCTCTGGAAATTCAACATGGAACCTGAAAACCATTTGTTCAGGTTCCATGTTCTTTTTCCCGGGTGTATACAAACCACATGGATAGTGACACACCAGGATGGTTTCTTCTCCAACCGGAGTGCGCTGCAAGGTCCGCCAGGGACCTTGGAGCGTCCTCAAATCAATGGGTCCCCAATCTGCACAGCGGACATGGTCGACTGTCCTGCCCTCACCCCGACTGAGTGTGGGGCCATCTTCTAAGAAGAGGCAGAGGGCCTGGCAGCTTGCAACGTTCCCTGGCCCTAACTCCAAACAAACATGGCTTGCAGCAAAATAGAAAGGCGCAAACAGGCCCCCAACGCGGTGGCCGTTCGGCGCCCAAATCCAAGCGTTCAAGCGGCAGAAGAGGTGTGGACCCCTCTCCCGCCCCAGCTATCCTGCCTTCACTGAAGAACTTTGAGGACTCCGAATGAGTTCCAAACATAGGGCACCCACCTCAGCCGTTTTCGGGTCCGATCCCGCACCGCGGTCCGATCCCGCCCCGGTGACGGGGTGCCGCACGGTGTTGAGCATCACGGCGCCCCAGGGCCGCACAAAGAGGTGCACCACACAGCGTTTCAAGAGCTCTTGCTCCAAGAAAACCTCACCGTGCGGACGTCGGATCAAACTTGGAGAAATCTTGGAGAAGCATTCGGCCGCTAAGAAAGAAAGAAAGAAAGAGATGGATATATACATAAGCAAAACGCTGTGCAGCGCGGCTCATGCCGCCACTAGTTGTTGGCTCTCTCACCATGCTTGCCGCTTGCCCACACAAATCCCCTCCCGTCACAGCCGCCTGCAAAACATCCGAATCCTGCACTCGAGCCAGCTCCACTAGGGCCAGGGTGGCCTCACGCTTTGCTGGTCCCCTTCTGGCGGCCGTGGGTGTAGGTGACCAGGAGGATACATATCATGCGGTGATAGTGATACAGTAAAATGACATACCCCTTGTTTCGCACACTGGTGCTTGCCCCACTTGGACCCGATCACACCTCCAACAAACTGGTGCCGTCCCAGGGATAAAACCACCGACCACCACCCCAAAGGGCCTCAACTGCCAAGGCTCCTGAAAATGGCACTTGCCGTGGCCTGAAAGAAAGCGCAACAAACAACCAACAAGGGTCGGGTGTCATGGTGGGCAACAAAGCCTCTTTCTTGGAGAGAGCCGAGACGAGCACCCCACAGGAATTCCTCCTTTCATGCGCCGTCTTTCCCCAAGGTTTGGGGCGCTCGCTGCAGGGCATCCGGAGCTTTCAATCATCCTCGGATCTCTCAGGCACCCACTGCGGCATCTTGTTGCGCAAACGCTCCTCATCCAGCTTGGCCTCCGCAGATGAGTTCCGTCCCAATCATCCACGTGTTCTGAAACAGTTCAGCTTGGAAGGCAGTGGAGTGAATCGCGGTGTTCACTCGAATATATCCACAAGTAGACAGTGTTTTCGCAGCATCTGTATGACAAATGTGCCCTTCATGTCATGCAAAATGATCTGAGTATGCATCTGTATCCTATGTAGAGGTATGTATAGGTATATACTGTAGCTTTTATTTGTTCCAGGCGCGGATACAAATGTCGGAAGGTTCAAGAATCCACGCTTGATCACTGGGACAGCGACGGCAGGGCTCCCAACTCCAACTCCCTAGCTCAACATCACAGACTGCCAAGGACTCACGGGTTCTCTGCTGGATTCCCCAATAACATCTCATCTCCTCCAAGAACCCACTTCCAAGTCACCTAGTCACCCCGTCTCCAACACATCCACCGGCCCTCTTTTGTTCCTCACAATTTGCTCACATCCCTGTGCAAGCGCCCCGTCCGCGCCAGGTCCCACTCATCCGGTGGCGGAGGCTCGACCCATCCCTCCCGCGCGCTGAGCCCCGTCTGCGCCAGCAGCGCGCCCAAATCCGCTGTGGCCGGGGACGGCAGGGCCAGGGCCACATCCTCCGCCTGAAGGCTAGGGGCGCAGGCCGGGCGCAGGCCTTTTCGAGAACACCCCATGCAAAAATCGGCAGAAACACAAAGCAAGACCTGGCGCAAGCTTGGTGCGATTGGACGGTCAGTACAGGACCCCGGCAGTACATGCATGTTCAGGTCAAAAAAAAGGTCCACAATCACGACAACCCACCTAAATATTCACACTAAGTCTCTTGATATCATGGAAGTATACTTATGTTCCTTTGCTGAAGGGCTGGCCCAAATGCCAAAGCAATGTCCACGAAGGTGACAATGTACGTATGCACTGTAGAACGATCTGATTGCCCAAGCCAAGGGCCTGTCCTCATGTGAGAAACACCACCACATCCGCAGAAACCCAAACAGTTGTCGTCATCAGAACCCGGCCCAAACTCAAAGAACATGTTGAAATACAGTCTTGCTTGGCAATCAGCTTGTTCACCTCCTCCCCGTGTTGCGAAAGACACGTGGAGGATTCCCTTCACCACCAAGCGGTTCGGACCTCCGAGGCCGTGATCAGGATCCGGTCCCGCAGCCAGGGTCCACTGCCGTCGTCGATGTGAAAGTCCCCCAGGCGACGCACGGCGGCCACGTGGACCTGCGCCAGCGGGTCCAAGGCGCGGGAAGTCTCCGGAGGGGGCGGCGGATGGAGGGCACCTGCCGGAGGGGGGGCGGAAAACCAGCAATGAGACAAATAGAAAGGTTAGACTCTGAGATCTCATTGTGCCACAGGATGAAGTGTTTACTGAATATTGAAGGGAAAATCTCAATCTCCTGGTGCACATTTTATAGTACAAAGTAGGGTCTCGGAACGTTGGCTGGAGCCCCACGTTGGGCATGCGTACGCATCGAAGAACTTTCCATTCTTCCTGCCTGGGTCAAGGTGAAGCGGAGCGCACACATCACATCCCCTCGCGATTCCAGCCCCACAATCGTCCTACTCGTCAAGCCACAAATCTCTACTCTGTACCCGCCTCCTGCCCCACGAGGGCCCACTGGCCTCAGGAACTTAGCACAACATTGCAATCTTTGACAAGGTCTCCAGCAAACCAACATGCAGCTGAGGTAAACATTCAAGGCACCTACCAATCTGTTGGCCCCACCTATACGCACGAACCCCCTGTCATCTTGTAGAGGAGAGCAAGCATTCCAAAAAGATGTGGGTAAGGCATGATAAAGGGAGCCTCTGCTCAATCCTTGCCTTCCAAACCTCGGGTGTGGCCACAGCATTTCGGGGTGAAAAGGGGAGGAAGTTCCCCGTGGATTCCTGTGGTATTGGGATGCAAGGGACTCGAAAAGATCACCTGCTTCAGCCCGAGAAGCGCAAGACCTCCTCATGCAAAAAGGTGACCTTCCCGCGGACCGTGGGGCGTGCAATGACCTGAGACTTGCAGGTCCTGTCCATCATCCGCCCCCATCGAGGATGTGAGTCGATGATGTGGAAAACGGTCTGATCAAAGAAGGCCGTTCTTCCGGGTGCATGTTCGACATCAGAAGAACATCAACACGACACCACCCCGGCCCTGACAGAACTATAATCAGAACTGACCAAGACTGTTTCAACCGATGAAACTCTGGTGAAAGTGAAAGTGACTTAGACGGACCATCTATATAACAGTCTAACATCTACAGCTGCACAGAACTGACCAGTCGCTGAAAGTCTGAATTGATTTGTTTCAGCTGAGATTTGTTTGAGCAGCTGACCATGATCTCCATCAGCCCGTGGCGAGGCCGCCCCTCGCGATCCTTGTGATGTCCAGGCACACCTGATGCACAGCCAGCTGGCGGCGACGATCAGCTCGATCTACCAGTATGGGTCTGGCCGGCCAAGGGCTACCGGCCAAGGCATCCTACTTGAGGCCATAAGCAGGAATGGGTTCTGACCCGTCCCCTATGAATCACCCTGGATCCCCTGTGAATCACCCTGGGTCCCCTATGAATCACCCTGGAGATAATAGAATTTGGACCTTGAACACGAACATCCCCAAACATTTGGGCTTGTGCGTGTACGGGTATATGCATATATACCATCCATCTCTCCTTTCAATTGAATTGTCCCAGTGGTTTTGGGATGGTCCCGTCTTTGTTCCACTCCTTCCGCAGACTTCGACACCGTCGCAGCATGTCGCAGCCTCCGATGGCCGGCAGCCAAGCACCACCGTCGCTGCGTCTGAGCGCCAGCAGCATGGAGCCCTGCGCGTCCAGCGGCGTTTGGGGCTCCAAGACGGTCAGGCGCAAGGAGGCACCTGCAGAGATGGTAGAGGGAACACTCAAAAGACAATTAAATAAATTGGTCACCATTGAACGCTATAGGAACCTTGGTGCGAACCTTGGACTGGTTGATCTACTCATGGATCTTCCCATGACTTCTAAATTACCTATCATGAATATGATTATAACAAATTATATCCTATAAAGTCCTATTCAAAAGGCTCCTCTGCGCTTTTTTGGAGCGCATTGGACGTTTCGGTGCTTTTCGGACGCGTCATGCTCTCTGCCAGGTGCTGTCGCCAAGGTCTCTCGGTCCCAACCGGTCTAAGACCGTCTCCACGAACGAAAAGCGACCGAAAAGGAGCGGTGGGAGGAAAACGGAAGACCCTTCCACCCTTCCATCTGTTGACTCCGAGTCAGCAACCCCCTTCGAAGGCCGCTTGGATGCTCCACTACCGATGGCACTACGCCCGACTACGCTGCCATCGTCGATTGGGGCACCGAAGAGTCGGTGGTTTCCGTCGCGGCCGTCTGGGTTGGTCGTTCTCAACAGCCTCCCGTCACTGACCACATCTGGTTTGATCGTCGGCAGCTGGGTCACCCACGCACCTCCCACATCTGCCGTGGAGGGCGTGGAGTAGCCAGTGACTTTGGCCCGTTGGATGGATCTGGCCTGTAAGGACTGCTTGGGCGTGAAGGAAGCGGAAAAACCACCTCTGGTCCCGTTCACCCTATGGCCCAGACCTTTGAGTTCGGCCCTCCAGGTCGATGTTCACCCTGGATTTCTATCTCTAAAGTGTGGTTTGGATCTGTTTGTGCACGGTTCCAGTCACAACTCCATCCTTCTTAGTTGATGAAACCACGTCCTTTCCGATGGGAACCACGCCGGTATGGATGAGGGGCGGGCAACTCCCTGGCCAGATCTCGCAGCTGCAAGGCCACACGGAGCGGCCACCTGAGCCGGCGCCAGGTGCACCAAAGTGCACCAAAGGCTTTTTCCTTGCATTCAAGGGTCCAAAATGATCCAAGCGTCCAAAACCAAGTGTGTGTGTGTGTATATATACAATATATATGGTAGATAGTGGATGTTGAAGAATATGCTTTTTCATGTAGACTGTTGTTGATTGATGGAACCCCCCTTCTCCCCTTCTCCAGGATGGTTATTGCAGGTCAAAGCATCTTCAGGCGCCACAATAGATAAAAGACGGATTCATCGACCATCCACATGATAGAAGCAAATTATGGTACCTGCAAATGTGGATCAATTAGGTGAGAAATGGTGAGAACCTGCTGACCCACCTCACTGCGATCTGGGTCAACAGCCAGGTCAACATCGCCTTCCAAAACCCCTTCCAACCTCCAAACCCCGTGCAGGAGAAACCCACCGAGACGCTCCAAAGGCATCTGAAACGAGGGCGTCGTCGCACTCACCAGCACCGACTCGGCGCGAAGACCCGACGCCGTGGCCTGCGAAGACCCGCGAGAGCACGTGACTGAAGCCACGCGATGGTCGGTCCGATGGGCTTTGCAATGAGGTGGACTTCGCGGTCCAATCAATTTGGGCACTGGAATGGGGATCAGTAGATCCATGTAGATACGCTGTTTTTGATGGACGTTCAGTGTGCCAACTCACCTCTTTTGGACCCCAAAAAGGTGGAGCTAGTGGCAGATAGCTGCACGCCTCAGTCCAGTTGAAGATTCCCGCAAACGACGGTCCTTCATGCCAGGTTTGTAACTGCAGACTCTATCTTGAGGCCATGACATGACTGAGTCATGGGAGTAGTTTGGACAAAAAATCTGCCTCTTTCCTGCGACCCACTAAAAAGGACCAAAACCTTGGGTGTGTCCTAGTCCCTGTAACAGTGGATGATGGTTAGTGAAGGCCTTCCTCTAAAATATATAATTGTTCACTGACTGTTACAGCTCATAGGACACCCCCAACCAAAAACCTTAGAGACCAAGCCCAAAGAACTCCATTGAAACTGCTGGAGCTTTGCGTCCCGACCTTCGCTTCCCCCGCTGGGCCGTGCGCGGACGTCGGCACCAGCCACGCCGAGCAGCCGCAGCACGGCATGGCCAAGCACGGCGCAGTCCAGGGAAGGCCTTCTGTAGGTATACGGATAGTGGTTTTTGGGGTACAGGCCCCGCAATAGGTCGATGATATCCCTGGTGGGACTTCTGCATGCAGGGGAGCCTCTTTGATGTGTCACAACTATCATGGTTCATGCCTTGGCAAACAAGTCTACGCTGCCCATCTTGTGCCTTGTGTTGTGTGGACGGAAGTGATGCTGGTTGCTCGTCAGGTGGGGGGTCGAAACTCGACATGCATGGTTGCTCGTAGACCGTGTGGAGATGCTGTAGTTCCAAAGGCGCACATTGGCCGTTGACGTTCTATCCCAGCTGGCGCCAGCCTAAACCAGACAGGCGTGGGTTTTCAAAGCCACGGCGCTGGCTCGCCGTAGCTGTGAAGGAGGAGGAGGAGGCATGGAGACGCTACAAACAGACCAATGCGTCTAAAGGCAGACGCGAACACGGACCGAAGCAACTGTATCCATGTCAAACAGTCCAACCTATATTAGAGTTATGCGTCCAGGAAACTGCAAGTGAGCTCCTACCGCTACCTGTGAGTGCCAACATGTTTCAAAACCGTTCATAGAGGCAAAGGCAACATTGCTTGTCCTAAGGCACTTGGGAAGCCAAATGGCAACTGCCAAAATGAACAGAAGGAAAGTTCTTGTCTTCAGGTGCGCGAGCAGCCTGAAGTCAACACCCGAAAGTTCTTGAAGTTCTGGCCACCTTTCAGAAACGTATGAATCACATCCTTCCTTCCCACATCCCCTGAGAGTGTCTCCCATCGTCGCACCTTCAGAAGATCCCGGTCAATCGAATCCGATTCAGGGACCAAGTGATGGGACGAAGTCATCGATCACGCAGTCGACCAGGCTTGTTGACGCTGATCGGTGCCAAGACCAGCGGTGGCGACGACGACGACGACGATCACCACACAATAGGTAGAAAGCTGAACCCGCTTGTCTTCTCTCTCTCATCGACACCCTTTTGATCTGCCTGCACCTGCCGGCCTGCCGGCCTCTGTCAATGACATGGCCATTGGTGGATTCTACGGATGACTTTCTCAGCAAACCACCTGGGCTCCCAAACTCTTGCCCGGCGCAGCTTCGCGAGCAGCTCGCTGCGCAAGGAGGCCTTCACTGTCATGGCAAGAAGAACTTGGAGGATGAACAAGGATGAATTGGACAGGCGCTTGGCAAAATGCTTTCCGAAAGAAGCACATGTTGACACGCCGAAGACGCCTATAATTATAATATATTATAACATCATGTATATTATAACATAATATAATCGTCTGGCAGCTGCAAGTCAAGACAATGTCCTTGCAGAGCTTATTTCAACACCAATGCCGCACGAATCCGCACGATCAACTCCATGCATATCGAAAACAAAACATTTTGGTGTGGACCAAGCCCAAAATGACATGTGAGGGATGGGCACAACACTGGGTCCCAAATACCAAAGCGTTTTCACGGGGCATCCCTAACAAAGGTCCAGCAGAAAGTGGCTCTGGATGTCACAGCCCAACATGTGAGATCCAGTGATGTTGTTCAGAGATCGATCCAAACCCGATTGACAAGTCCTCCATTTCTCGGAAAGCGAGTCCTCAAAATGAATTAAAAAGGGGCCTATCCAATAGTCCCCTTGGGTGAATAGGTCTCACCACCAGCTCTCCCCAAACATCCGGTCGTCCACCACCACTGCGCGAAAAGCGCCTGGTGCTCCCCATCGTCCAGACATCCCATGCGATGAAGCACCTCCTGCAGTGAGGAAAGCTCCGGTCCAGCCACGATCAAGAAATAAAGACAAAAGAAGAAGAAGAAGAAGGGACAAAAAAAGGTCGACTAAAGGGTTAAAGAAAAAAAGAAGGCCTATTCAGCCTTGGCAAGTTCAAACAAGTGGTGGGGTGGTGCAACAGCCATGCTGCAAACTTACAAACAGCGCTGACAGGGTTCTGGCGAAAGTGGGACGGTCTCTTTTCCTTTTCAGTTCAAGGTGCCCCCCCCTCCTGCTCATCCCAAGGTGCATGAACCTGGCAAAAGGTTCTTCCCAAGATTAGGGTTCTTGCCACGTGTGACCGGGAAAAAACCATTCGAACATCGAAGATGCCAACGCAACGAACGTGCAGACGTCCCAAAAATGCAGACCGTCGTCGTGGAATCCAAGCAATTTGCCTTTCAACAGCTATAGGCAGGTTTTTCCAATATGCATCGTCCCGGACGCGAGCCTGAAATCGTTCGCACGACCTGTGGTGCATGTGTCTTACATGTCTTGTTTCATTGCCTTTGGACCTTCCAGTCGTCAAAGCCCCTCTGTTCGCATCAACCGTGTGAATTCAGGCCAACGGGGCAACCGCGCGTGCATTTGAAAAGGCATCCCGATGTCCGCCTGGTCCGATATCCGCCTGGTAGTTGGAACACAGCCCATAACGGGCCGTGGTGTTTTGGATCTTTTTCAGACATGGCATTTGTTTTGTTTGTGATAAGCATGGGTTCTGGGGGGGTGGGCGGGGTGGAGCTGGGATAATAACGTCCGTTGGGTCCTTCAATGTCATTCAATGCTTCTAGTTTCCTCGCGAAATGTTTTTGCATGCGTATGTGTGGGGGGATGTGCCTTGTTTCTGCATGGCTGGAATCGAAACGATTCCTGAGACACAATTTACCGTCAGTGTTTCAGGTCAAAGGTCACAGGTCAAGTTTGAAAAACCGCATTGAAAAACATAACCTGTCAGTTTGTGTTCCAACAGTCTGTGATGCCTGCAACTCCATTGCAGAGTTCTACGGCCCGCTTTGAGGCCGCTGTTTCAAGCAGCACACGGAGCTTGTTTGAACTCAGAAGTTGGAGAAAGGAGCTTGTTGGGATAACGGTAGACTGACCCCAAATAGATAAACAATGGATTACATAACCCTAAGAACTGGCAAAAACTCGATAGTTGGGGGCAACTTGATTTGACTGTTTGAAGTGTCAATTCTACTGGGAAGTGGACAGGAAAGTGAATTCCCAATCTCATTATGCCATTCAATCCTTGAAAACGCTGAACAAATCTTCCCCAAGCATGGAAAAAAATGGAATTCTGCAAGCGGGTAGCGCGCTGTTTTGATCCGCTAAAAGGGCTGTGGTATGTAAAGGTTGTCAGCTGTACACAATGACATGTAACCTCTTGCACCCCACTTGAAGGTGCGTGAACTTTCACGTTCAGCTTCACAAGGTTACCACAGGTCAGAAATTTTGCAGCTCTTGCAGAGCCGCAGCGTGTCGTAGGCTCTTGACCTTTGGCCGAGCTTCGGACATGTCGCGTCCACATGAAAGACGTCTCGTCCCTCAAGGTGGTACACCTTGCTCGACCATGTGTTGATCTCACAGTCGGTCGCTTTCTCGGCTGTCTTGACTTCTTTCGTCCCAAGGCTCAAGCCCCCATAGACCTGGAAGTGCCGGGTCACACATTTGAAGAAGATCCAAAGCATCACACTCTGGACCATCAGCACATATCAGCACCACACAGATCCCGATGCTGAAGTCTGTGAAGACCCAGTCACTCTTCTCCACAGTGGGCTCAATCTCAAAGCTTTCTGCCGACTGAAGGAGTGTCAGCAGAGCCACCATCAGAGCATGTTGGGCCATGCCTTTCCCAACTGAGCTCACAGCTGCCACGCTCTTGTAGTTCTCCTTCTCCTGAACCGCTGCCGCCTTGTTGGCCATCTCATTGGTGCCAATGCCGATCTTCTGGCGCAGCTCAATGAAGCGCTTGACTGCCAAGGCCTTTGTGCCGAAATCCGCTGCGTTCTCCTGCGAGGAAACTGGGTGCAGGGAGAACATCTTCCTCTGGAGTGCGTCTTGCACCCACAAGCTCTTGACTTCAAGGTGTCTGATTCTGCCAACACCCTGGCGTTGAAACACGCCTCTTGCCGCACTGCTGTCCAAGTAGACTTCCATCTTCAAGGGGAAGCCGATGAAGCCGAAGATCTCCTTCATGAAGATGCCTTCTGAACAGGCCGCCACTCCTCCATTGAATTCAGCCTCGCCTGAACTCAAGCAAAGCATCTGCAGAGATCTGGCGTAGCTGTAGATCAAGCAGTTGCCAACCATGAACATTGCACATGCGCAGCTTTTGCGCGTCTTCTTGCAGTTTGCCCAATCCGTGTCCGAGTGGATGATGAGCTTGTCCATCTCCCCACTTCGTGGGAGCCACACGCCAAACTCTCGCGTGCCCTGGAGGTACCTTGCAAGCCGGTGCAGCTTGATCATGCTGCCATCACATGGCTCTTTCATGTCCTTCGTCATTTCCCGGACTGCAAACTGGATGTCTGTCCGGTCATAGGAGAGGTATAGTGCCAAACCAACTCCTGCACGGAAAAGCTTCACTTGCTCACCAGTCAACTTCTTGCCATCCTTCACCTCAGTGTGCATGTAGGGCGTTGGAGCCTCATTGCACTCGCTCAGACCGAGCATGTTCAGCAAGTCAGTAATGTACTTGCTTCGAGGTGTCAGGAAAATCCCGTCCTCGTGGGTCTCTCTTGTCCTCTTGAGGTGGGTGAACTTCTCACCGGGCTTCTGCATGTGAATCTGACTCTTCATCTTGATGCGTCCATGGAGTTCCTTCTCAAACTTGATCAAAGCCTTGTAGGGTCCGGTGGCATAGATGTCATCCATGTGGACTTCAACCACCACCCCACTGCCAGAGTTGAAGAACAGCCATGGTGCTGCAGGGTTGCGCTCAAACGCCAAGTCCTTCAAGTGCCCTGCAGTCCACTCCACAAATGCTTGTCCTGCAATGCGCCTGCCGTACCACTCCTTCTTGAGCTTCCAGACCACATTCTCAGGCAGGGTGACACCCTTCTCGAGCTGTCTCTCGATCCACTCCTTGGGTGCCTGCAGGTAGGCCTCCTCCTGGATGGGAACTTGCCAGAATGCATTCTCTGCATCAGCCGTCAGGAAACTATATCCCATCTTCACTCCGATCACGTCAATGATCCTGGAGGTTGAGGTACTTGATGCCACTGCAAAGACATCTGTCCATGGGTCACCACGCTTGAACTCTCTGCAGCAATACCTGCATCGGACAGATCCGTCGGGTTTCCTCCTCCTCACCCATGTTGCGTCCAGCACCTTCATGCCCTTCTCATATAGGCCACAGGGATGTAGGTCTCGTACTTGTCCATCTTGTTGAATTCCTCCTCGTCGCCCTCCTTGATCTCTTCTGCCGTGAGGGGCTTGCTCTCTTCATCTCCTGAATCCATCTGCACGTCCTCCACCTCTTCTTCAGCAACCACGATGTCCTCTGTCGGGTTGTAGAGCGCACCAACATAGATTCCTCCCACACGAGCCTTCTTCTCAGGTCTTTCGTCTCCACCGCCTGACCAAGCCCGTCTTGCTGAGATCTGAACGTCCATAGGTGCCTCATCCGTGGTGGTGTGCCATGGCCGCACAACTCCGGATCCAGTTGCTTCTGTCGCTTCCGGGATCTGTGTGTCTTCTGCCACTTCTAGTCGAGGAGTCTTGCTCTGGACTTCGCCTTCCTCTTCTGCTGGAACAATCGCTGGTGTGGGAATCACGACGTCCTGCTTCCGCTTGGGTCTGCCAATCGTAATGCCTTGATCCCAAGGTACACCCATCATGCTGTCCATGAGCTCTCTGTCGTGCCGCTTGGCCTCAACTGCAAATCTTCGAATCGATCTGGCTGAGATCGTTCCCTCCTCCGCGCCAATCAAGTATTCTCCACTGGTCACACTTCTCCCAAGGAAGATGCCTTTCCTCCAAGTAGTGTCGCCCTTCGTGATGATGTTCCTGTTGTGAGACCTCCTGCTCTTGCTCACAGGAATCTTGACCAGAACTGTCTCTGCGAAGGGTACCAGTGGTGCCGTGTAGCTGGTGTCGAAGGCGTCTTGGTACGCAGTTCTCTGGTTTGCTTTCACGGCAAATCTGCTTCGAATGATGGAGCACCATCTCACCAGCCATGGCCACAGGTTGTGGGAGGTATGGAGCGTCATGCCATACTCAGCCTCGACGCAGTATCTGAGCGTCAGCACGTCACCTCGTAGGAGTCGTTGAAATGCTCCCATGTGTCCAAGGCTTTGGCTAGAATACCTTGGCACTTCCTCGAAGATGATCCTCAGTCCAGCTGCACCAGGAGCTTTCCCTTCTCTCAAGGCCGCTGCAATCTTGGCCACTACCTTCTTGATCACAGGCTCATTGTCGCTCCTTAGTTTGACGGTGGTGTAGCCGAGCTGAGTGATGAATGAGGTAATCACTTTCACAACGTATGGCATCTCCAAGTTCTTGCCAGGAATGCTGAGTGCAAGTGCCATGCCAGTGCCACTGTCGACGATGGAGAGCACTGTGTCGCTGCTTTCCTCAAAGCGGTCAGTCAAGCTGGTGTCCGTCTTCAAGAAGGAATAGTCCAACTCAAAGTGATTGTCAGCCAGCTTTTGCTCTGTTGTCAGTCGTCGATGGGGCTCGTCAGATGCATGGCCACGTGTGCAATACTCACACCAAGCTGCTGGAGGGATGTGAGTAATCAGATGACGTTCAACTTCTTCCGTGTCCGGCATCTGAGGAACCGGAACATATTTCACATCAGGCTCACGGCCTTCTCGAAGAGCTTGTTGTCGAGCACTCTGCTTCTCCACATAGTCTCGTGCCTTCGCTTGTCTTGCCCTCAATGCTGCCTCGGCTTTCTTCAGCCTTTCCCACAAGGTGTGCTTGTCTCCATAGATCGGCTCATCAAGTTCTCGAAGCCGTTCCCGCAAGTCAGCTACCTTGCTCCAACCATGCAGCTTGGGTCTGTCAGCACGTGCATGAGCTTCATCTCGAGCAAACTCATCAGGTAGGGGCACAAGTTCCATGCCCTCCTCCTCATCGGCCACACCTGCGTACTCCCAGTCGTATTCATCACCTTGTCCCTCGACTGGGGCCATCACTGCATTGGGCGTTGCATCCATTGGCATTGCCTCATCATCTCTGACCTTGATGTAGTACGAGTTCTTGTACAAGTACAAGGGAATCCTGAACTCAAGGTCGGGATGCGACAGGAAAGGTCGAAACCTGTCGGTCAGATCTGCAGTGAATCCTCTCTTGCTCAGCTTTCCGACGCTCACCACATCTTTGCTGGCATTCTCACTCACCTTGAACTCGGTGATCACGTTGAGGTGCCGGTGGTTCTCGCCGAGGATCTTGAAGTAGACTCGCTTTCTGCCAAGCCGTCCCAGACTCTCCCCCGAAATGCCGAGGAGCTGTGTGTCGCACTTCGTGGTGAACTTGTCTCCACCAAATGAAGGTCTGCACAAATGCTCGTCGCTGCCAGAATCCCATAGGAGGTACTTGAACTCTTCATTTGGCCAGTTGTGTCCCAACAAGTGCCAATCTGAATTCTCTTTGCCATGAAGTCTGTTGTTGAACTGGGTGTGGATCATCATGACCCATCGAGCATCATCATAGTCGTCCTCAATGTCAAAGGTCTCCTCAGAGGCGTCTGCCCAAGAGACACGAGGCTCAGAGTCATCAAGCCAGTAGTATATTGCGTTCGTGCTCGCCGTGCCACCACCACCTGGGGATTGTGATCCAGATGCAGCTGCTGAACTCGAAGCTTGCGTGGTGGTCACAGCATTGGTGCTAGAGCCTTTGCCTTTTCCACCACCGCCAGCCTCTCTCTTGGCCTTGTCTTTGGCCAACAGCCTGCAATCTGCCTTCTTGTGTCCCCACTTGTAGCAATAGGAGCACTCACCATTGAACTTCTTGGGCTGCGTCTTGCTGCCTTTCGCCTTGTCGAATTTGCCACCCTTGTTGACTCCTTTGTCTTGCTTTCCAGGCTTGCCTTTCTTGCCTTTGTCACCACCTTTGTCTCGACCAATTGCACCAACATCCATGGGTGCGGGGCCGCCATCATCTCGTGTGGTCTCACCTCTGTTCGTGTAGTAGGAACCGCTCTGGAGGAAGTCCCTGAGAAACTTCTTCGCTCGCTCATAGTTTGTGCCAATTTGTGGGCCTGCCATCCTCATTGCCGACCTCACCGAAGCTGGGCTGTGCTTCATCAGCACTGCAATCTTGGTGGAATCTGACACCTGTTCTCTGCTCTGGACCTCATACCTTCGAATCTGCGCTTCACAGGTCTCCATGGCCTCTAGGAAGTCGATCTCTTTCACCGTCTCCCAGGCAGGGGCGATGATCCCTGTCAGCATTGCTGTGTGTCTGCCGCCAATGTCTGGCTCGTAGGCTTCACATAGTGCCTTCCATGCAGCAAACCCGTTGCCATTCTCAACGTTCATCAGAACTGATAAAGCTCTGCCCTCAACCGATTGCGTCAGCAGGTTGAATAAGACCACTGCCTTCTCTTGTCCATTCTGGCCCATGTCAGCCAGGTGCAGGTCTGAGTACCTGGGTGCTTGCTCTGCCGCCGTGATCATGGCGTTGAAGCCGGGGTCCAACAGGTTCAGGTAGCCGCGGGCCACGAATGCCCATGGAGGCCAGCCTTCCTCCTTGCCAAACATCCTTAGCTTTCCGATGGCTCGAGTGTCGATCAAGCCGCCTCCACCAACTGCGAAGCCGGGGCCCATCATCTGCTGCAAAGTGCCGCCAGCCGCTGGAGATCCGCCCACAGGTGAAGCGAACGCTTGGGGCGGTGTGCCCGGAGCAGCAGGTCCCGCGCCAGCCATGTGCGCTGCTTGCCGCTGTAGCCTATTCGGCTCAGACTTACGCCGAGATCCCCACGCAGCTGCCCGTAGGCCTTACGCTGTCTGACAGGGGGAGCTGGGAGCCCTGAGACCCAGCTCCGCTACCATGCAAGCGGGTAGCGCGCTGTTTTGATCCGCTAAAGGGGCTGTGGTATGTAAAGGTTGTCAGCTGTACACAATGACATGTAACCTCTTGCAAATTCCCATCATGATCACCACGGCCCCCGTGGACTGGGCGGTGGGCCTAGTTACACCATCTTACTAGAGTTGACTCAGCCGGGGTCAACAACTTGAAAACCATCCGGTCCTCCACTTCTGGGTCACCCAAGGCATGGAAACGTTGCCAGGCGTCCTGGGAGGAACGGAAAAAACACAGGTGATGGGCATGCCATGCCGCACTCAAACCGGCATCGACAGCTTCGTTCAGTTGCTCATCCCGACACCTGCACTAAACACTCTCCTCTCCTGGCTCAGCTCGCATCCCTTTGCCTCAGATGCGGTGAATGTAGGCATGACATACCATACTAGACTTTATACCATGCATGCATTTTGGATGTCTAGGAACCTTGATCAAGCCCCTACAAACCTCCGATCCAGTGCCTTCCTTCAAACCTCGCCGCTTCTGACTTTTTCGCCTCTATCACCCGGCGCGACGGACGGCTGGGCGCCCGTCTTCTTGGGGCCCCATGTAATCTGTCAACAAAGCATCCGTCGGCGGATTCCTTTGGAGGATTCTTCTGTTTTGACCCTTCCCCCGCATTTAATTTGCCTCCTCGACACCTGCCCCTTTTTTCCTGGCCTCCAGGAGGATTTTTGTCACCTCCTGCAGCTGGGAACGCCTTGGCCGCCGCAACACCGCGATCTCCAAACAAAAATTGGACGCCGCAACGACGGGAGCGGGAAATCCGCGCGTGACCGACTGTGACATGCAGCTTTTTGAGAGGAAAGCCGCAAAGCATCATGTAACGAATCATGTGCCTTTCAGTGTTCTGCCTGCGGGGTGCCTGTGCGCATTTCTGGCTGCCAAACTCCGCCATGGCGTCACACCCTCGAATGGACACACTTGAATTGGCCAGCTTGTCCACGCTTTAAGTATTGCTCTTCGAAGCGTCGCGCCCACAAATCAAACTGGTCATGAAAACGCTTGACATCAAGTATATACAGTGGCAAGGTGGACTCAATTTCTTTGAGCAGCGGCAAGCGCCCCATCCCACCGAACCACATGATGTCGCAATATTGCGTTCTGACCCAGGAATCATAGACCAAAGCTCCTTGCGCAAACAAAGGCTTGGGCCCTGAGGAGGTTAAAGGGATTTGATCTGCAAAGTCTGCCAGGTACAGTTCACTGTAGTTCGTCCAGTTCTCGACAGCCACCTTGCAGCCGTATTTGGTCCGAACGTAGATCGAAAAGTGTGTGAGCAAAGATTTAATGTAATAGTACGTGGGTGGCTGAGACGGGTTGATGAGGTTCTGGCGTGAAAGGTTCAAGTCTAAAGCAGATGCAGGTCCGAATGCGGCTCGAAGCGCCACATTCGCCAGGCTCTCGCCGGCAAACAGAACACCGTCATAGTCCAGAATGCGCACTCGCTCGCGTCCAAAGACGGTAACAAGGTTTGCAATTGCCTCTGTTTCATCCCACGGTCCATGCCAGAAATAGTCTGAAGCAGTCTCTAGAAGGACTCCTTTCATGCTGCGGAAGCGCCATTGAGAAAACATCTTTGACAATACATTCCGGTAGGTGTAAACCACGGTGACATCAAAGTCGGACACCAAATCTCTTAATAATCGCAGTCGAAATGTTGCAAGATTCGAAAAGCCTTCACATGTCAAAATCACATTGCCTTCAAAAGTCTGCAAGAATTTGAGCACCTCAAAAGTTTCATTGAACTGTGCGTGGTATGGTTTTGACTTTGATTTGGAATCTTGACCCGCCAATGTCAGGCCACAATGTACGAGCTTCCACCACTTCGCGGAGGGCGGGAAGCCGATGCCACGGGCTCTCAACTTTTGTTTATTGAAAAGCCAGGCCGACTGCATGGACGAAGAGCCCGTCTTCCACGAACCGACATGCAACAGCAGCTTCCGAACGCCATGGCTTGGGGTCGGAGGAGGTTGGTAGGACTCGTTCCACTCGCGGGTGAGACGACACGTGTCCTCGCTTGGAGGGGGGGGTTCGGTGGGTGCGGTCGGTGGGAATTTGGACGACGTGGATGGATCTCCGGGTAAAACTTCCAGGGAGTGGCCATTTGCGGCGGCCGTTCTGCTGACCCAACCCAGAATGGCAAGGGCACTCCCACAAGCAACTGTAATGGCAGCAGCTCTGGCTCTCATGGCGGCACGTGATACAAACCGTCAACTCTTATATAATCTCTTAGAGCCGAGATTTATTGAAAATTACATTTTGAAGGTCAAATGGCTACATGGTTTAACCCTTTCATATTCTCAAAGATTCTCAGCTCTCTTGGGGCGTCAACGCTTGCTTTGAGCATCTAGACGCCTGCAGCGTCTCTCTCCACCGGTGCTAATATAGGTTCCTATGGGTTTCAGGGAGTTGATGGAATTTGACGGAAGTCGGTGGTTTTCGGCGTCATGTCATCGATCTGCCAGGTGCTTCGGTCAGCGAAGGTCACTCGGTTAGCGAAGGTCCAACCAGGTGGTCGAAACGGTCTTCCGGATCTGAGCACTGAGTCTTGACGTGTACTGTACTGGTCGCCAGCCATCACACCGAGTCGTAGGTGACTTCCTCACTTGAAAACTGAAAACCATGACCGAAAAGGAGCACCTCCCGGGATGGTGTCCAAAACATAGGAAGTCACAGCAACCCATTCGAAGGCCGTGAAGATGCTCCATTCGATTGCACAACTACCCGGCTGCCTCGACCAGTTGGGCACGAAGAGTCGGAACCTCGAAGCGTCTGGTTTGTTTGTCTGTGTTTGTGCACAGCTCCAGTCACAACTCGGTCCTTCCCGATGAGAACCACCCGGTGTTGATGAAACACGATGGAACCCACGAACCCGAATGCAAACACGTATCGGAAAACAAACACCCAAACAATTTTTTACACTCTTGTAGGAGACACTTTTGCGGGACACCCTTGTAGGACACATTCTTTTCGGAAACCTTTGTGGGACACTCTTGCGCACTCTTGTGGGACACTCTTGCGGAACACTCTTGTAGGACACTCTTGTGGGACACTCTTGTTTGTCACTCTTGTGGGACACTCTTGTATGACACTCACTCTTGCGGGGCACTCTTGTAGGACACTCTTGCGAAACACTCTTGTAGGACACTCTTGTGGGACACTCTTGTGTGTGTGTCGCTCTTGTGACACACTCCTGTGGGGCTCCCTGGTAGGAAACTCTTGTAGGACACTCTTGTCGGACACTCTTGTGGGACACCCTTGCAGGTGACTCTTGTGGGACACTTTCGTAGGACACTCTTGCGGGACACTCTTGTAGGACGCTCTTGTGGGACACTCTTGCGGGACACTCTTGTAGTACACTCTTGTGGGGCACTCTTG